TCATTCCCATCTGCAACTAGATCCCCAGTTTAGGATAAGAGGTCCAAATAATTCCAGAGACACAATTTTTCACATGTGATAACAGAAAAGGTCCTATAAAATTGTTTTCTCATGCATGGTCATGACAAAATTCCACATCCATTTCTTATAATTTCTTTATATGACATTTCAGTTGCAATTGTTTCCTATCACACTTTATGTGTATTATGTGCAGGGTTGTAAGGTTAAAAATTTCTCATGTTTCATCATAAAAATGGCTACACTTCAATAATAAGATACTTTGTTTTCGTGTGCATTTCTCCCTCCAGGGTTAACTGCCAAAGACTTAAGACAAAACCTATATGCACTGTTTACACAGAAGAAAAGGACTTTGGGTGAGGAAAGCCTGGGTAAGGAGTTCAAGTCTGGGGCTTTGTAAAGGTCCTAAAGAGACATCTATGTGTTGAGTGGGATTTTGCAAAAGCAGTGGCCTATCTCACTTTCACCTATTCACTTGTTTAGGCAACTAAACAGTTTGTAGAGTCTTAGAAGATGAGAAGCAGAAAAAAACTCTAAAATTTATTTCTAAGCTATCTTGCTATGCATGACAGTAATCAAACAAACTTAAGGGCATTATGGGTTATTTTGTGTCCTCCTGCTAGGAAAGATAATTTTCAGATACTATTCAAATGTCCATTGTGAATAGCCAGGTGTTTTAGCAGCTTTGGGTAATACAAGGATTGCTCTCTTTCACTGTCCTAATATTATTTATGTTACTGTTTAACATATGCATTTCCTGTCTTTACATGTCTGTTTTTATTATTTACACCATAATTTTCCATCGCCTCTACAAGTATCAGATCACAGACTGTATTTACACAGCATATAACATGTCACCTGTAGCCAAGAAAGGGCAAGACTCCCCCACTACTTTATTCTTTTTTTTCTTTTCATGGCTTACCTTATACACTCCACTGATTCTGGTCTTGATTTTAGATCCTGGTCTTTAGCAGCCACACCAAAATGAATGGGGAACAATCCTCCAAGAATAATGTCTCCCTTCTTCTGTGCCCGTTGGTTTGGCCCATAGGCAGCTGCGTTCCAGGTAAATAGCAAAAGGATGAAGCAGCAGCTATGTAAAGTCATTGTTCTTCTTTTTACCAGGGAGTTATAGGATGCAAAATTGGAAAAGATGATGTAAGAAAGCAGACGGAGTAATGTCTAAGCTTTTCCTTTCCTTAATACAGCACAGAGAGGATTTGGGACACATGTCCGCAGGGAGATGAGCAACCGGGTGGGAGCCACAATGCTGGTGTTTCTCCCTCTGTCTTCTCCATTGCAAAACAATTCAGCAGTCTTTCTTTCTTCATAACCAAAGCATTATAGAGAGCCCATCTCTGAAAACTGCAAAAGAAAGACATGAAAAATGATCCCAGCTACACACGAGGACCCCGTGCTGTCATGGCAGTGCTGCATTATCCCATCAACAGCTTAATATGCCCCCATTGACATCCCCACTCAACAACCTGCGCAGGACCCATACCAACTTCGAGAGAGTAAGTCAGACACCCCAGTGATGCCAGCCACACCTCCTCAAAGAAGTGTCATAGATTCTCCTGGATGTCTAATTCTCTGTCATGTGTGTGAGGTGGTTTATCCTTGCTAAAAATGAAACAAGGTCACAAGAAAGACTTCTGTCACATTCCAAATGAGGATGACTTCCAGAGAAGCATTTGAAATCAAGATACTTCTCCATAATGAATCGTGAAGGCTTGAAAGGTTCAGTGATCATGTCGTTGCAAGCTTAGCTGTCAAGCTTTGAAGCCTGCATCCTGGGGATAAGAAATATTGCAGCTTCTCTACGCTTAATACATTTTCCCTGCAGCACGTCTACAGGCCTGCCAAATGAAGAACTAACTTAATTATGGCATATGAAAATGGCCATAGGGGAGGAAGTAGCACAAAAAATTCATAATAAATGCCTCTTTAGCCTGTTTGGAACAGGCCTAAAAGCTAGTAGTAAAAATCTGAAGTTAGTCAAATTCAGAATAGAAGCTATGCATATGCTGCTAATACTCAGGACACTTAATTTCTGAGGACAGTTAATTTCTGAAGCAAGTCATCAAGAATGTTCAAGTGCTGAGAACCCTTTTATGAGGATTAATTGCTGTGCACTAAATGTACCTAGACAGATTTGACCTCTACCTAGGTCACAAAAGGAGGTACTGAAGCAAAACGCTGTGATCATGGGGGTTCTTCTAGTAGCCAGCCCTAATGACTATGCACGTTGTATGACCACCAAGCATTTGCAAATACTTCACCCATTGTTGCTAAAATGAAGGTCCAGACTCAGCAGTCAATGGGAGAAGAGAGACAAAGCTTGCATCGTTTTCATGCCTCTGCGGTCAACACACTTAGACAACTGCACTCCCCTGTGACGGGTCTACTCTAAGCTATTCTTCGGTCCTAGCTTGAACAAGTGCATTTTTATTGGCAAGGGCAATCAAATTTCTGGCTAGAGATCAAAATATGTCTAGGCAATCAATTTTCTACCAGGAAATGTGGAGTCACACTGAAAGATTTTTGTAGGAACATACTGGTTTTTATATGAAAAAAATATGCATTTCATGTTCACAGCATCCAAGTGACTCAATCCAAAGTCAGAAACTCATATTTTTGACAAACTTGACTCCTAGATCCCTACTCCTGAATGGGCATTTCAGCACCATCCTCAAAATCTGAAACTTGAACACGAAATATCCAGCTGCTGCTGACAGAGGCAGTCAGAAAACACTCTGAGATGTTCCTCTGGCAAGCAATTGGAGTCAGGTCACACTGCTCCAGCCAGAATGCAATACTGTCTGTCACTTGTGAGCGTGTTGTCTTAACGTCTGACTGGTACCTTTTACTGAGAAGCCTCTGGCATGTGGGCCTTTGACAGCAGGATGACAGAAGCAGGACTAGGAGGTGACATAGCAGCGTAACAATTGAGTGTCCCCAAGCTTTTGGGTTCTCATTTTCCATGGCAGATGGGCAGTGGTTCTTGTTTCTTCGGTGCCCAACAGAAAAAGGAAGGAAATACTTTGCCACGTTTCAACTAAGGTGATCTCCCTCCCACCACCTATGGATTCAGAAAAGATATGAAAAAGCATATCAGACACTTTTTAGATGGATATTCTCTCTCTCTCCACCTGACTGAGGCTGTCTGCGGGATGAATTACTGAAAGGCAGTCATTGCAGTCTGCTGCAAACACTTTCCATTCTGTCCTGGTTCACAAAGCCCTCCTGCTATCTGATGCCCCACGGAAATATCTACAATCATCTACAGAATGAGTGTCTGGTCTTGTGGCAGGAAGAAAGATTTGGACTGCCAGCTGCAGAATAGGGCTTTACCCCATGACCTGCTGCTTTGACACGTAGCTAGCCTTCCTGTGCCTACAGCCAGGTAGCTGGTGAGTGTACATCGAGACCCATGCTTCAGGAGCACATCAAATCTATTGCAGATGGTCAGTCTCTAATTGGATTAAGATTATGAGCCTCTTCCTTATTAAAGCAAAGCATTATGCAGCCAAAGATTGAATTACCTGCTAACGCATGATGTAAACTTAGCAAAATAGAGGTGGAAATTGTGCTACTAATAGAACAAATTACTCCGATCCTGCAGATTTCAGCTAATAAATTAAAAAAGGTTAAATTAACAAGCAACTGAATTAAGAAAGCAGCTTGGAATCCATTGCTATTTTTTTCCTTTGCAAATATTTTTTACATTTAAAACATTATTTAGCACATAAATTATTTGATTATAAGCTCTTCAATGCAGAACACCTTTTCCTGTACACATAGTCAGCAAATACAATTCCATAAGATTTATTTTGCAAGAAAAATGTAAAAAATAAGTATTATTTCCTTTTTTTTTATATACAGCCCTATTTTTAATCCCACTCCTTTAAAAAAAAATATTCTTTAATATTTTTTTTAATTGTGTTTTGTAACTATCAGTTTGATTTTGAACTGTCTTGAAAGTGGAAGTAAAGTAGGAGCTATCTCACCTAAGCTTCAGTGCAGGAACTTAAAGTGGTTCCAGGAACAGAGGGAGACATTGGGCCACCATTGTCATGGCAGAAACAGTACCTGAGAGGTGAGAGATGGTACCCAGGGTACAGGTGTGGGTATTGGAAAGGCTTGCAGCACTTCCTACTGTTTTGCTAGTTGAATTAATGTTTTAGTTGTCAGACTAAACCATGCAGAAAAGCCTGAAATGTTCAATAAACCTTTGTTCTTTGGGTGAAAAGAAGCTGAATGGCACACTCATCACATATATTACTTATGAAGTACTTCTTAATCAAACAGTAACCACAACTTTAAATAGCAGCTGCTCAAGTCCATATAATAGCTAGGTTGGGAAGGATCTCAAGGGGCCGTGTAGCCTGTTCCTTAGCCCAAGAAGGGCTCAGCAATAGTAGTGCTGTTCCCAGCATATTTTCTCTAAAACCTTTTGAGGAAGAAGACTCGTCAGACACCCAGGGCAGCCTACTCCAATGCTTCTCTGCTCTTACCGAGGCGAATGTTTTCTCACATCTAACTTGAATGCTTTTTTGTTGCAACTGAAGCCTGTCATCTTCTCCCATCTATCATATGCAGTTCAGTGCCTCCTTCCTCATAATCGCTTTATTTAGGATTTGAATTCACCTCCCCTTCTTCTCTTTTTCTTAGACCAAGCAAAGTAAATTAAATTAATCTTTTCTCACAAAGATGCTTTCCTAAGCTCAGATTATTCTTGTTTCGTTCCTCTGGCCTCTTCTCCACATTTGGTACAGCCCAGTGCCCAGAAATGGATGCAGCGTCCTTGTTGGGCCCTTACCAGCGCTGAGCAGATTGGTGGGATTACTTTGTGTGTCTTGCAGGCTACAGCCCTGTTTATACATCTCATCATGGCACTTGGCTTTTTTGGAACAGCATGACATCGTTAACTTACGGTAGATCACCAGCTGAACACAAGGCAAAGGTGAGCATGTAGGTAAACGTGTAGATGTGGTGCTTAGGGACATGGTTTAGTGAGTTAGGTGGTGTTGGGTTGGACTTGATGATCCTTGAGGTCTTTTCCAACCTTAATGATTCTATGATTCTATGTTTACATCCATAAGGCCATGAAACCTCAGAAGAAACCCTCATCTTCCAAAAGTTTTTCCCTCCCATTCTGCCCAAAGGTAGCACCTGCTAAACCTCACATCATCAACCTGGATACCAACAAGGAACCGGCATGCTCAGCCTCAGTTGAGTCTCCCGGCCTTTCACGACCTTATCACAGCAGAGAGTCCCAACAGGAGACTTCCAAAGAGCTTGTTGCTTTTGACAAATCACTGTTTTCTGCTTTGTCAGAAAATGCTCGAGCACTCCTCAGCTTTTGCTTGTTGAAGTTTCAAAGTTTCTATCCCTTTCTATACGGTCTGGCATAGCTCAGTCAGGAGCAGTGCATCTGATAAAATAATTACTGGAGAGCTATACCTTGTGGAATGCAGGTGCCAGAATAATTCATTAGGATTTTTGTGGCTTTTAAATCTGGGATTCAATAAGCCTCACTTTAATGGAAAGTTGTAATTTGCTAAAGTGACAGAAACTCCTCAGCAGATATCCTGCTATACCTTGAAATTCTCTTATTAAATGCAAGGCATATGGTTAGATCATGGTAAGATTGAAACAATGAGCAACACACCTGCCCTCAACAGACAAGGAAGAGGTTCAGAGAGAACAGAAATCAGAGAGGATCTATGTGGTCAACTTCACGCCCAATCTCATTGCTCAAGACAGCTAAAGGAGGGCACTTCCACGAAGTGGACAATGGACACAAGACACAGCTCTTCATAGTTCTGAGATCAGGCAGGACTTCTAGTGCTGAGACATCATGACAATATGAAAAAAAGCAAACTGTTCACACACATCACCAGGGCAGGCATTAGCTCAGCCTTCTTGCAATTCTTCGGTCATAACGATGGATGAGCACATCAAAGATGCAAACAAAACCAGAGCGCTAGTATGCTAAAATGGAGGAGCTGTGCTTGAACTTTGTCTGTGGAATTAAACTGTTCTGTCTTTAAAGAAGGCAAGTGTTAACTGAAAATTACTAAAAAGCACTTGCCAAAAGAGACAATTCTTACACATCACACTCCCCAAAATAGGGAAATCTTTGTCCAGACAAATAGCATGATTGGGAAATGGAACCTCAGCCTCCGAAAAGTTTGGAGAGTTCAGAGACAAGAGGAGCATAGAGCAAAATTCATATCTAGAATAATGACTCTGTTTTAAAAACACTACCCATACACTTGGTTTTGAACTAAATACAAAACGCGAATGCTAGAGCTTTTACTGAGAATGAGACTTTACAAAATCAACAAGACCATCAGC